TCAATCCATTAACATGTTAAACAGCGTATACAATTTTAGGTCTGAAAACCTATGCTTTTAAAGCCTGAGGTACAACATATTCTATAAGTTTAAGTATTCACAGTCCATAGCTTGTGCCTTAAATATAGATGTGTGAAAGAATATCAATATACCCCAACCAGGTAGTCTACACTTAATAACATGACTCAATCCAGTTGTCAGTGACTTCATGGACTTCTGCTATGCTTTGGTTTGGTCGCCCCTAGCTTTCTTCCCACTTACTCCTACATTGCAGAACATAGCTCGACGAGGCATTCGTTATACAAGACCCAACCACCTCAACTTGTGAAGTTTCAACATTACATTTATTGGTCTGTCATCCTAACCTACTACTGTTCTCCTAACAACTGCATTGTTTACTCGATAGTCGCAGAACATACGAGCAATGCTTCGAAGACACCGACGACGGAATACCAGTAAAATACGAATTTCTTCTATTCTTACTGACCCTTTGAAAACTGTTTAGTAAGAGGGAGCGAACTGTTGTACAGTAAACTCGTTATTTGATTAGCAGATGGATAATTCGCCTATGCCGTCAACGACAAAACTAGCGAAAGCCAGTCGAGCCTTCTGTATATGTGCCGAGATTCCACCACATACCAGGCCTTCAGCACTGATGAGAATTCCAAGAACATTGAAGCAGTCGACATATTCAACTGCTCCACTCCCTATCATTAGTTTAGGTGCCGATAAAAGCCAATCTTGAAACAAAATTTTGCATTTTGAATGGATTGTTGTTTAGGTTCATCGGCATATTCCAAGTTAACAAGCAAACCTAAAAGCATGTCATTGACAAAGTTGAATAAGAATGGAGAAAGTGGACAACTCTGACGAACACCACTTGAAGTAGTCACTCCTGATGGCAGTTCGTCATACGCTCTAATTGGACCAGAAGTGTTCGAGTATTAAACTTAATGTTAATGTATTTTTTGGTACACCTTTTAATGACAAACACTGCTACAGAATCTCTCGATCGAAAGAGTCAATTGCCGCTTTGAGTTCAAGGGATACAACTAAAGTGGGACGCCGAAATGTGTCTATGTTCCAGGACTTGAAGAAGAGAGAATATATGGTCTATACATCAACGTCCATGTCTAAAACCAGCCTGCTTTTCTCTAGTCTGCTCTTCACAAGCTTTAGTGAGGCGTCGAAGTATAATCGAGGTTGACAATTTAGAAACTATATTAGGTAGACTGATCCCCCTGTGACTGTCACAAGAGGACCTTTGTCCTTTCTTATGAATTGGGACAATCAGTGACTGCGATAAGTTAGATGAGATTACGTCCAGTTTCCAAATTCTACCTAAGAACTCAGTCAATCCGACTGCTAAAACTGGACCACCATCCTTAAAAATCTCAGGAGTTAGCCTACCAGGACCTGCTGCTTTCGACTCGCTTTAGATTTCCTATAGCTTTCCCAACTTCATATATTATCGGACGGCTTACGTCGATTTGCCATTCAGGTCGATTGGAAATCGTGGGCAACTGAAACGTGGCTGAAGGCCAATTGAACTGATCTCTGAAGTGTTCTGCCCAATCATCTGGATTGAGAATGAATAATATGTACATCCTTATCTGAGATAGTTTCGCCAACAGATAGATTACTTGTATTGATGAGTCGAAACAGTTTTGTGTTATCTATCGTCGCCGTCTTTTGCAGCTCTTCAGCCTTCGCGATCATCGCGTTGACCTTTTATCAGCATGTGCCTAAGGTGACTTCGCTTGTCATTCTATTCGTAACCATAGATGACTTTCTGAGCATTTAGTATTACAATAGATGCTGCTGAAATCGATTTTTTCTCCCTAAACTTATGGTTTGCCTTACTGGCATACAGCAATGCCTTTTTCACAGCAGCCTCGGAGTGGTATTCACTTACAAGGCCGCCTTACTGATTTACTAGTTGTTACCGAAGATGCTATTGGCTTTGTTATCGGTAAACAGAACTCTCGAGGAATTCCTGTGTCCTTCTTACGTCCATTAGGCCTAAAACAAATACGCGCTCGCACTAGAGCATCGTCTGAATCTAAACAATTACTTTAGAATGAGCGGCAGTCTACAATAGATCCTCTCCACCGATGGCTGATAGCAGTGTGATTAAGTTGGGTCGTCATTGAGGGTTGCAAGGTCAAGAGAGGTTTTTCCTTGTGCTTCAAGTTAGTATTTACTAGGAATAGGCGCTTTTTGAGCATAGCTGTAGAAAACGGACATCTGTTCTCTGAGCCGCGACACCGTAAGATCCATTCAGGTGTCTTTCCTTTACACTTATTCTACCTACTTAGGCATTAAAGTCACCAGCCGTCATTACTATATCAGAGCGCTTGACTTTTTGAAGAACATTAGAGAGGGTTCTGTAAAATTCATCTTTCATCTTGTCCGAGCTACAGCCAGTGGGGGCGTAAGCAGAGATAACAAAGAGGCAACGGCAAGTTTCCCTATCTTCACGGGTCATTACTGTCCCATTTATTTGGTCAATGCACATGCGAATACCTATTGGGAGAGCTAGATCAGCCTAGCCTATGAAGTTCTACGTTGTTGCTGACTGAGTTCAGCGTTAGGACTCAGTGCAATACCTACACCATGGAGGCCAGACGTAGCAATAATGTGGCTTCCAGATACACAAAATGTAAATTGCGACGGTTCTAATTTTGAGATAGAGATCAAGTGAATAGTTTTACTCGGATGTTGTATGAGCGTTTCGGAGACGCAGTATTCATCAGGAGTACGAGATTCTAAACCTATAGCTAGCTGTTACGGGTATGAGGACGGTTGTCACTTCCCGGCTGCCCACACTGGAAAGGTGAGGTGTGACATTTTTAGGGTCGACCTTTTCTAACCCTTCCTTCCTTGTCAGAAGGCAGCATCGCTGCAAATGCTGGTTGTCCGAGGGAAACACCTTACTGCTGTCATACCCCTCTGCAGTCAGCACTATGACTTCTCCCTCAGACCTTGAGTAGCGTCTTTTAGTCTCATCGGTATCCAATCGACCTGCCTGGCATGCTAGAACCTACAGGAGCATATGTTCCAGCCGATATAGCTCGGTTCGGTCATCACGATAAACAAGGCTGACCAGCGCGTCAAGATAGAAGCTACGGTCGGGAGACTAGAGTAATAAGAATAAAAAGAAATTACAGTATTCATTGAAAGCAAAAACATAAGCGAATACGTTCTTCACTAGCCGTCGGACCAAAGAGAAAGACACTAAACGGGTCAAATATACTACCATTTCCACGCCCGCCTTTTTAATGGTTGTATTCACCCGTGTGTGTCTCTGAATGGATACGAAGTGTTACAAGGTCTAGTTACTGTTAGACCAAACATTATTGTTATGATTTAAATATGCCTAAAATAAAGTTCATTTGTACGGCTGTAATACTGAGACATTTATTTCCGATTCATAATAGTTTGGAACTTTTGACCTATTTTTACAGATAATTATATAATTATATATAAATAATCTTGGTAACTCGATTAGTTGCCCTTGTTCATCTCGTTATTTGTATGCCTTCCACGAGAATGCAAACGTTCACGTATAATCTTTAAATGCTGTAGTATATAGTTTTGAGGTTTCGGTTCCATGGCTATGGCCTCTAAAAGGCATGATTCTGACTGTTCTAGCTCATCTTCATCTGCCAAAGCAACACAGAGGTTATGTTTAGCCTGAACATTGTTTGGGTCCAATTTCAGCGCTTCTTCAAAATACTAAGTAGGAAAAAAATAAGTATATGCTGACGTATGTCCAACATACTGTAGCGTTCACAAATTTATAGTTATGTTTTAAGCTTACTTGTTTTGCTAATTTTATGTTCGCCTTTTCTGTTAGCTCTATATCTCCGAGAAGTAAATAAGACTTGATATGTGAAGGATGAACCTGTGAAAGTAAAAGACATACAAATGCGAGAAATGACGATTCTGTATATCACTAGGTGCTTTGGGTATGACTATGCAGTTTAAATATGATGAGGAAAGACAACAAAGGAAACAGTTTACAAAATGTCATTTGTAATTCAGAAAAACATTTTATCGGTTTATCAGTATTCATCCTTCGCTTAATTCTGCCGATGTAGTTTAGAAATTTGATTTTCAGCTGTAGTACAATGCACCATGTAATTTTTTCAACCATCAAACAATCAGAATAAAATAGATCAAATAAATTACTCAAATGTATAAAATAGTTAGGACTAAATTAAGTTCTGAATACTGATTCATCAAGTCCATGAATTCTCTTTTATTGAACTAATAAGAAAGAAATCAGTCACTGATTTTTAATGCATAAAACGAATACATAAAAAGTGTAGATTTACTTTGATAAGATGAAGCGCGAGATTACTGGCATCATCCGGTTTTCCAAGATGATTTCGATAGAGTAGTGCTAGATTAAATAGAGAACCTTTATGATCAGGATCCAGCTTAAAAATAACAAAAGAAAAAACACCAAGCAAACGTATATTTGGATGAGAAACTCATATGTAATCTAAAAACAATCAAGTTTTATTACTTTTATCAATGACTATAAGACGAAGAGATGTAAAATAGACTAGATAACTGTGTTCGGAACAATTCAAATGACGATTACTTTTATGCAAATGAAACTGTCGATATATAATCAGCGTAGGATGTGTACATGATTCACAAGGCTATAAATATTTAGCCATATTCAATCTCTTTCAGTTGACTGTTTAATATCTGAAGCATTTAGTTTTAACGAAAAGTTACAAGGACTACTTTTACGAAAATGAGTATGAAACGCTAGCACAATATTAATTATCTTGTTTTTCGAAGATATGGTTCGTTTCGCATTGACAGCGTAAACAATCCGGTGTTCAAAACTAGAATAATAACGAAGACGTACGATTCATCAAAGTACATTTAGGACAAAAATGTTCCCATGAGAAAGTATTCACCTGAAGCCTTAACGCAAACGCTGAACTAAAAAGAGATGGTATGTATATATCTAGAATCTAAATACGTTGCATGCACCAATAAGTGCTTTTGGTATTAATTCAGAAGATCACAACACTTGTTGTGCACTGATAAAGTTCCTGATGACAGACAATTGAAAATGACATACAGCACAATATATTAATGGCGAGTGGTAGTAGTAGAAGTGGACTCCGACTTGAGCACTTCTACGGTATTGTAACGCTCGCTTAAATAATTCCCAGCTAATTCCTATTGCTTAGTATCCTCTGACCGCAATACACTGGACAAGTTCCAAAAAATCAGAACACGGTGGAACAGGAAAAGAGTACATTCCAAATAGCAAGGTTAAATGGAAATAAGAAGCCAAAGGCGATGGCAAAAAATATACAACGTTAGTGTCCTTATAGTTTTTACATGAGAAGCTTCTGGAATGTAATTCACGTGACTGACTAGCACCGACCGGATTAGATTTAGCCAATCAGCATGCAGCTAACAACAAGAGAATTTTCTAGCCTGTTCTCCAAGTACGGGCCAGGCACTGACTGAATAGGAAATTAGCCAGTCAGCACGCAGTCATGCTTTATTTCACCTATGTCCCACTAACATACGGTTACTGCAGATCGCAAGACCTGATATTGGAGAGGGCTGGGCATGCAGTTAGTGACCCATACCGTTGGAACGTCCTCATTTAGGAAAGTTATGAAGCCTCATGATGAAAGCCGAGTTCCTTCAGCAGTCATGAGACCGGTACCCCTTACGAAAACCAGAGCAACCATTCTTTTAGGTACATGGAATGTTCGAACATTGTGGGAGACCGGGAGACGGTTCCAAGTTGCTGCAGAAATAAAAAGAAACAACCTGAAGGTGTTTGAAATCAAGAAGCGCATCGAAAGCAGGTTGGACAACTGAAACTAGCTTCAGAAGAGCTGCTGTTATAATCCAGCCATGAAGAAGAAAATGCCTCACACACACATAAGGAGTTTTACTGATGCTGTCCAGACAGGCACAAAAGGCAGTGATAGGATGGGAAACTCATGGACCCAGGATCATCAAAGCATCCTTCAAAACTAAGAATGAGGGTTTACTATGAACGTCACTCAGTGCATTGAGCCCACCAACGACAGCAACGAAGATAACAAAGATCAGTTCTTTGAGTCCGCAGTTAATAGTAGAGAAATGCCCAACCAATAATCTGACCATTCTGATGGGAGTCTAAACACCGAGGTTGGCATGGACAACATTGGATATGAAAACATCATGTGGCGACATGGATTGGCAGAAAGGAACGAAAACGGTGAGATATTTGCAAACCTATGTGCCTTCAACAAAATGGTCATTGGTGACACAATATTCCCACGAAAACGCATACACAAAGCTACACTGATTTAGCCCAATCACACAACTGAGAATCAAATCGATCATAACCTTATCAATAAATTGGTTCAGAAGGACGATAGAGGACGTGAGAACCAAGAGAGGAGCTGATATAGCCTCAGATCACCATTTGCTTCTTCAACACTACGGTGTGCATGGGAAGATAGTCATCATACGGAATTCTTACGATGGATGAAACTGAAAAAATCGTGCACGGAGGACAGCCGAAAGACTTGTTTGAAGTCAAGACCGGTGTCAGGCAAGGTTGCCTACCCTCAGCCTTTCTCCTTCTCTTGCTGATCGACTCGATTATGAAGACGTCAACATCTGGAGAGAAGCACAGTGTCCAATGGGGAGCCAGGATGCAGCTGGACGATTAGGACATCTCAGATGATCTGGCTCTTCAATTACACGCGCAACAACAAATGCAACAGAAGACGAACAGTGTAGCAGCAGCCTCTGCAGAAACAGATTTCAACATACATAGAGCGAAAAGCAAAATTCTCCGATACAACACAACATGCGCCAACCAAATCACTCTTGATGGAGATACCCTGGAGGACGTTAAAACCTTTATAAATCTGGGCAGCATCATCGAAAATCAAGGTGGATCTGATGCAGATGCGAAGGCGCGGATCAGCAAAGCAAGGGCTGCATTTCTACAGTTGAACAACATCTAGAACTCCAAACAAATATCAATCAATACAAATGTAAAGACAGTTCTACTGTATGGAGCGGAAACTTGGAGAACTACGAAAGGCATCATCCAGAAGATACAAGTGTTTATTAACAGTTGTCTACGCAAAATACTTCGGATTCGTTGGCCAGACACCATCAGCAACAATCTGCTGTGGGACAGACCAAACCCGATTCCAGTGGAGGAGGGAATCAGGAAGAAGCGCTGGGAATGGATAGGACACAAATTGAGACAAGTACCCAAATGCGTCACAAGACAAGCCCCCACTTGGAACCCTCAAGGACAAAGGAAAAGAAGGAGGCCAAGGAACATATTACGCCGAAAAATGGAGAACGACATGAGGAGAATGAACAAACATTGGACAGAACTGGAGAGGGAAATCCAGGACAGAGTAGGTTGGAAAATAGTAGTTGGCGGCCTATGCTCCAAGTAAGTAAGTCGAAGAAATAACTAAATCTGTACAAATAAATCACTTACAAGGATAACCTTTCGATAATGTTCAGATGCTTTAATGTAGTTCTTTTTATCAGTTTCTAACATACCCAAGGCGAAATGTAATTTGATCGGTTCAAAATTTAGTTTGAGTAGATGTTCATAGCTGTAAGTAAAAAAGAGAAGTAAATTCAGAAACTTGATAAGTTTTGGCTGATATGGTTAGGAGATCTGATGCTGATTTCAGTAAATTTCAAACACTGGTGAAGAGTTAGGTCGAGATAGTGTAAAACCTTTTAAATGATGGACATGATAATCAACTATTGATCTCAAATTTCGGTATATGGTCTACAAAACTCAAAACATGACTGTCAGCGTGTTTATCGGTTTCTACACTTTCGAATTCACATACCAATGTTGAAAGAGATATCAACACTTAGTTTTGATGAACTGTATTAATGAAAAATCGCTAGCATTTTGTTTTTATGAATTTGGAAAGAGAAGGCAATACGGTTTCCGTAAAATAATCGAAATGTCAAAAATTTGTTTAACTTGCATGCTTATTGCTTTTAATTGGTCATCAGGGTTGACTGATTCACCGAGAGTTGATGCGACAGCGAACAGAGAAGGCTGAATAAGATAAAAGAAATCGATGTAGTCAGTTGGAATTCACTTCAATAGCTCTTATTGTTAATCTTTTCCATACACAAATTATTATAATGAAATATTTATATATTTATGTGGCCGTCTTAAAACCATGGAATACTATTACCTTTAAATTGCAAAGATTTTTTTATCAAGAGATGCGCGCTCAGTTCGTGTTTCAGCTATAGCATCGAGATTTTTTGATGCAGAGAAATTCAACAGATAGTTTCCAAACATCAGTAGATACGCTTAAAGAATTTTACTATCAGTATCTTTACACTATAATCGTGATACAGATACCAAGAGTATCTAATGATCTACTCAATGAGTGTTAATGTCGACAACAACTAACCTATCCAGTTCTGTAGATTGGAAATTATAAAGCAAGTATCTTGGCACTCAACATTAAAAGCAGACTTGTCAAAACAATCACTTCCAAGTAAATGCTGTTCAATTGCTTCGAATTCCAGTTAAGGTATAAATTAATCGAATATTTGAGATTATAATCATTTTTAGTAAATTATTTACAATTGAATAAGAGATAATTTTGATTGACCAATACAACTGATATTAAACATAAAACATACCTCATGTTGTGGATTGTAAGTTAAGGCAGTGTTTAAGTACGATAGACCTTCAGATTTCTTATGCGACTCTAGAAGAACAACACCCAACTGAAAGTAAATGTTAGTGAAATGTAAAGTAATCTAATTTAGTAATAAAGTATTACAGTGTGAATTATCCTTTTTTTTAAAGAGGCAATACATACGGACAACCAATGTGGTTACTGTCTATATTAAGCAAATAAACAACATGAATATAACATTTAAAAGTCAATAACGGTTGCTAAATAACGTTCCACAACTCCTAACCTTGAGACTTTGTTAGATAAGAAAATAAACTGATACAAGTCGGTTCCTTATGTTTAACCAGTAAAAAGATATTATGTACATTTTACTGAGTCTCTGATCACCCGGCAAATTTATTGATACAATAGTGAAAAAGGAGAGTTATATTGGGGGCTGTATGATCGGGCAATCATTACAACAGCCATTGTATTCTCTCTCTCTCTAATCTAATTATCGGTTAGCTCACCCGTATCGACAGTATGACTAGCGACCTATTTACTAAATGACACAGCAACCAGTGAACAACAACAGAGACAACAGCGCTTATAGACTCTCGAGCTCCATTTAACCCAGCGTTCAGTCAGAAGGAGAAAATAGAAAACAGACTAATTACTCAATATGCTTTTTTTAACCATGGCTCAAAACTCGCAATATTATACCCAAAATATCTGATTACATAAAAACACAAAGCGAATAACATAATATGTGCATTAGCTTAGTATTAAGTGATATAAAACTGTGGTAATACTGGAATAATTAATGATACAATAAGACACCTAACAATGATTTATGAATCAAGCGAAAGAAGAGAAATAGTCGGATATAAAATAAATACGACAATCTAAGCGTCTACTAATTACACAATACAAATATAAATGCTTGTCCCTCGTACGATAGCCTCAAAAAAAATTAAATTTTCACTGTTCGCTTCATTATATTATGGTCAGATTGTCAATAGGAATAGGAAGAACTGAAATCACGATAGACAACAACTAACTTAACGTCATCCAAAAAAAACCATTTACTTGTACTGAATAAATTCTGACACACTTGTGGTAAACATCCTAGTGGCTGGTAAAACTATTTCACTGCGAGCAATGATGTTCCGTTACCATAATTACTTTTTAGATGGTGATTAACTTTTAAACTGCACTGCACTTACTGACTTCTCTTTAATCTAAAGTTTTTGATGTCCTAATTTGGATACAGTGAGTAGATGTTTCGGAAACTACAGTGACAGCCCGCGATGAAAAATACTTCAGCAACTGACTGACTGTCTGACATGATGCAGGATTTCAGGCATGCATCAAGATAAAGTAGTAATATGTTATATACCTACTTTGGTTTGGGCGTTCCAGCGATATTCCAGCCCACTCATAAATGTTATAATTTTTAAGGTGCCCCTTTGTATTAATGTTTGTGGGTTTACATAAAAAAATGTTATACTTACGTTGTAATTTAAATCTGGGTTTTTTGGTTGGTATAGCAAAGCATTTCTGTACGCTTTCTCGGCTTCTTCATACCTAGAGTTTTTAATGACAAACAAGACAAAATATTGCTGTTGTGAGTTTAACGAATCAGAAAATGAATAAGCTGATATTTTAAACTGGATCGTTTTCTTTTGAACTAAAAAAATGAGATATTGATTTTAGCTAACGACAAAATAGCACACAATTGGAAATATTACGTAACTAACCTCATTGAACGTGTACACTTATCAATGTAGCAGGTAATTGCAGAAAAATGGTTAATCTCGGTAATTAATCCATAAGTTTCACTGTATATCTAGCGGTTCAACTGCTACTACCGATGAAGAGTTAACATCGATCGACAATGACTGGTTATTCACCCAGTTCAAAATAATCTTCTACAAGTGGTCAGGCTCCAAATCTTTGAACTGACAAGTGGTTGGCATATGAATTAAAAAAGTGTAGTGTGGCCACTAATTTATCGAGAGTATTATTCATCTACATAACTTGGGGCTATGGATAACTAACCGAATACATTGGTTAGAAAATGAGTATAATTTCTTGAACTCATCATGAGGCTTACCTTCCTAACTTTATAAGTACACTACCGTAGTTTTGGTACGCGTCCACAAAATCAGATCGCAATGAAATAGCTCGACGAAGAAGAGTAGAAGCTTCCTCAAGCATGGGGGGTGACTTATTGATATATAAGTTGGCTAGATTGATGAAAACCATTAGGTCTTTGGGAGAAACACGGGCGTAATACGTTTGACCTATGAAATATAGAAATCAAAGTCTGATTAGTATCGGATACGTCAATGATCATACTTAAAAAAAATTCCAGTTAAGCTTCAGAAATCTTTGTCCAAGCATCACTCAAAATAAGCTCGACAATGTGTTAAAAAGAAAATGGCTAGCCTTATGATATTTTTACTCCTCATTTAATACCAATTTATTACAAACATATTGTACAGAAATAAAATGCCGAACCATCTGATTGTAGCTCAGTTGTAAGTGGTGTAAAACCAAGAGCAGTCTAATCATAACTACAGGAAATGCTTCAGCTAGCGGACCTAAAGGGATCGCTTATAGTAAGTACAGATAAAAACCAATCACTAAAATTTTAGGAATAATGAAGTAAGCGAAATCTCCACAACGAGACACACATTTCACAAATATTTTCGATTTAAGTTGTAAACCGCAAATCTTTTTAAGACTTATAATACGATTTGAGTAAATGTAAACAAGTTGGTGGACTAAAGTATGAAGTTAATAATGGCGATGAAGGGGTTCAACAGAAGAATGGCGCTCGCTCTGGAGCACATGTTTAGATTCAGATCATATCCTAGTGCCAGCGCGTATTTGTTTACTGCATACCGGACGTAGGAAAGACATCGGAAGGAAACCTCTTCGGGTTCCACTTAATGATAACAAAGCTAAGAACATATTTCAGTACACACATTTAGGCGTCCGACAATAGTTGTCCTCCTGGAACTCAAAGCGCCATTTGACTCTGTCGATTGTGAGGTTCTATAGCAGTGTCTCGTTGAAAGGTGCACCATAGAAGTACGTTAACCTTACACAGGCTCTCTACTCGAACATTACTGGTCGAGAGAGAGCTTATGACTATATGTCATCGGAATTCATTACGGTCCGTCAGGATCGTTCATTTTCTCCATTCTTGTTTAACTTTGTTATTGACATGCTTTTAGAGTTAACATTATGTTCGTCTGACTTCAGGAGTGGACCTTCTACCAGAAGACTCGCTTGTTGACCTTGATTATGCCGATGATATTGTTCTGTTTGGTGAAGACGTTGGTAAAATGCAGTCTTCTGACTACCCTAAGCAATAATGCAAGCATGTTCGAGATGCGATTCTCCCAGTCGAAATGCAAAGTTTTGCTTCACGATTGGCTTGCGTCGGCGCCTGAATCAGGGATAGGGAGTGAAGTAGACAAGTGCGTCGACTGCTTGCCTTATCTTGGGATTCTCTTCAGCGCTGATGACCTTGTATCTGACGAAATCTCAGCACGAATACAGAATGCCCAATTGGCTCTTGCCAACTTGCGTCACCTATGGCGTAGGCGAGATAACCGTCTGCTAACCAAAGGATGGGTTTACTGACCTGCAGTCCTATCGGTCATACTTTATCACTGCGAAACATGGCCAGTCAGAGTAGATATACGTAGGTTGCTTGTTTTCGATCAAGGGTGTCTCCGAAGCATTGCTCGTGTGTCAATGAGAAAACCGAATAAGGAATGCTGTTGTTAGGAAACATGTACTAGGTAAGAATGGCAGATCAATAGATCAAGTATTGAAACTTCATCAGTTGAGGTGGTTGGGACATGTGTTACGAATCCCCAACCACCGAATGCCTCGTTGAGCTATTTTCTGCAACGAGGGACTAGGTTAGAAGCAAGCTGCGGGTGGCCAAACCAGAACATGGCAGAAATCTATGAAGTCACTGACAATTGGATTGTGTTATGTTGGTAAGTGTAGACTACTTGGTTGGGGTCCGCGAGACGATAGTAACCAATGGTTAGAGACCTTGAAAGTCATTGCTCAAAATCGTTTGCAATGGCGCAGGTGCATCCACTCTTTGTGTTCTCTCAAATTCCAATCTACTGAATACCTCATCACCTCTGTCTTACTCTTTCTAAAGTAAAGACTTCTGATCTTCTTTATGGCCTCTAATACTTTTACTATCACTACCACTATGGGATTTGAACTTAAGGTTTCGTTTCTGTGCTAATGTGGCATGGCGACATGAACTTATGTACGCACTTTCGAAGTTCTACGTCGCAACTGACTGACTGACTGACTAATAATACTGCTCGCTTACGAATATCTATAATTGAAACCTCTTCAAAACACTTGGCATAATTGAATTTACGATCGAGTACTTGGATCGGTGAGTCACAATATCAAAGATCTACTCAGCATCTTTTTTGCTTCTCTTTATAACTGAAATGTCAAGACACAACTAAATATGTCTTATTGTGTAATAATATTTCCTACTAGCGCAGGAATTTATTCTATCAAATCATCTTACTCAACAGTACATGAAAACTGACAACATTCACTAACATTACCAACTCAAATCGAATCTAATATAACGGGTATGATCAAATAAACATTGGTTGTTGAGTTATAGTTAACTTCACTCACGGTCATTTGTTTTTTACTGATCAATAAATCACTAGTTAGCCCATCTCAGTCATTAAAATCTTTCTACAAATCAGCTGGGTAGTCATAACGACAAGTAGATGTTAGTTTTGATTGCTAGTTATTTTATTACTATAAAACAACATACCTTTCTTTGGTTTAGGGAAATATTCTAGTGCCCCGTAATACGCTTCTTCTGCTTTATCTGGCATTCCCAGGTTCATATATGTGCGGCCAACATTAATCCGAGCACCCATGTCATTCGGCTGAACACTAGAATATGGATAATTTGGAAACATACAATGGAATGATTATCTAGTTATTCTGCGGATTTTAAGCGAAATGAAGTATAGAAAAATTGTTCCCCATAAAGGATTTTACGGCTGCTACGATAAATATACAGAAAGAATTGTCAATACGCCCATAGCTAGATGGGTCCAGTTGGCTTAGAGTGAAAATATAAGATTCGGAACACAAAATAATGCTTGCTTTTGGCTACAACAGATTAAAATAAGCGCAACAATCATTAGAAATGAGAAACTACGGAAAACAGTATGCATTAAGAAAGTGTTAGGTTAGATTACGCATTACTAACTTAATGATTAAGTTGAATCAACAAAAGATAAACCAAAAGCTGGAATTTTTGAAAATACGAAAATGATCTTTTAATGATACCTTTTGAAGGGGAAAATCAACGGAGAACTTAGAAGAGAGGTTTAGTGATTGTTATGGCAGATTTATAAGGTTTATCTGAAACCTCGAGGAAATATGCGCTTACTTAGACAAATGAAGCGCTTTGTTATCACATGAATTTTTTCTGTAAGAATACCTTAAGACCGTGAATAAGGAGGAAAATATTTGTCAATAACATTATTTGCTGGGAAATAATCATCAAACATAAAAAACATTACATTTAATAACAGATATCTTTCTTACCATTAATGATCTGAAATAAAAGATTTGGTTCTGTGATGTGATACGGAATGGTACAAAAATATGTTCCATACAAAACAAAATGACAATATTAAGAAATAAAATAATTAAAGTTTCTAAAACCTAATACTTTTAAGACGTAAACGCAAGTTGAAAGTTTATTTTTATGCAATACGAAACTGCGAATAATAATAATAATAATAATAATAATAATAATAATAGCCTACATCTTTGACTAGGCACAAAATGAATGTAGGTAAGAGAGAACATGAAACGTACTTGACAGCTTTTCTAAAATAGTCAAGTGCTTCTGAGTATTTTCCTTCGGATTCTAAAGAATGCCCCACATTGTTCCACATTTTGGCGTTGTTAGGATTTACTTTTAACGCTGATGTAAACAGATTGTATTCGTTAGACCTAGAAAGGCCAATATAATTAAATAAATAATTGAATTATTTGGCCTCAGAAAAAATATGAATGCACAAAATAACATAAAAAACTTAAGAGTTTAGGAGTTGAATTGTTCTGAACTCCAGTGTTCTTAATATTACAAAAGTGCTGTTGATAAATAAAAAGTATTCGATCACAACAATGCATCTTGGCTATACAGACCGACTGTGACATCACACTGATAAAGATGCTGACGTTTTGCTCTTTAGAACGTACATCCAAGTTAATATCGATTTGTCTCATAGACGAAAAAATGAAAGAAGGGCATCTACAAGGTTTTCGGAACATTTACCCCGTAGGTTGTGTCTGAAAGGGAGTAAAGTTTTCACACGTGCGACCAATAAAAACTTGGTCGATAGTGGACAAAACGTCGATGCCTCAAAAGCTTCCAAAATAATTACCAGGCAACATACACCAGTTCCACTTCGTTTCCAAAGACCATTGCCACTGAGTGTATTCAACCTGACCTTTCTATGCCGAAAGGTGTGCTGAACCCGTCATTGCCATGGTACTATAGGTATACTACTTTTTTAATGCTCCTCAGTTACATTATGGCTCCATTGTGGTTTATAAATTAAAACAGAAAATCCCACTGACATTCACTCAAGACGCTGACTTAAATGGTATGTTAAATAGGTGCCCTGATTACAAGTCATTTGGTAACAATTTGCTTTTATCCACTGTCTTTTTATTACCGTTTACAATTTTATCCCTTTCTCTTTTTATGATTTCGTATTTAACATGTAAATAATAATCAACCTTAACCATTATGTTAAATATGTTGTTTCCGCTTGTTCTTTATTTTGGTTCGAACTAGGCTTCATTGATCAGGGTAAACAATAAAAAAAATTCTATGATACTATTGCTGATGTAAATTTACGTCGTTTTCAGTTGATGAGATGCCTGAAAGACAATTAAGATATCGGGGTAGAAAGTAGAACATGTTATCAACACTTTATTACATATTCTACCAAAAAATGATTGATATATGCTGATAGTTATATTTAAAAAAGCATACCAATCTGTATTGCGTCGAACGGTCTTACAAACAAATGCGAAAACGACTAGTCCCATTAAAATTCGAGGATATCTTCGAGGATGAAGACCATTCTTAGGGCTAAAAACATAAGGGATTCGAGATTAGGTTAGTAAGTTGTTTTGGAAAGTATGTGCAAACTTACCATATCTAGAACCTGACTATAGAAACTTTGATAAAAGTTCTGATAGTTCTTTTATGATCAAACGAATTAGTTATTGTGACTAAGAAGGAGTAAATTATCAGATACCGAAAACTTGTACAAGAGAAATTGATCAAAACACATGACCTGTCATATCAAATATCATAAGTAGTCAATGGGCAAACCACTGTGCTGATATATGCTTTACCATGATAGATTTAGCATATGATTTAAAGGATCACTTGTAGATCAAAAAGAAACTTCCCTGTTATCTCAGAACGGATAATTAGGATTTATCATGTACTGATATCTGGCAGAGAACTACTGATTTTAGTGTGATAAGAGCCAACACATTAAACCAAGTCACTTTCAGAAAATGACTAGAGGCATATTTGGACAATAGCAGCGTTATATCGAAACATTTAAATGTTTATTACACTCACATAACTTGATAGAACCTAAGATAAACACTTGCTTCTTGACCTTCATTAAAGGTTCTTGAGTTTTATTTTGTCTAGATGAAAATAAAATGAAGCATTAAATACATAAAACCATCTAGAAGGTCTATTATTCTACCACCTGGTCGTGGCTAAACAAATGATGCAGTCAGATAAATCAAGCTTGTTTAATGACAGTTATCGCTGCAACCTTAGTGATAAGTGGAGTAATCTTAGAAAAATCACAAGTCTTAGGGGTATATGGAAGTTAAATTGCAAGGCTAAAAAAGGTGTTATGACTAAGAGGATTACTCACCACCCACATATTTTTATCTGGGTCATTGAAGTGCTGTCTACACAAATAGAGTTTATATACATAGTTATTTGGTCTTTGGTATAAATCTCTTTACATATTTCTAGTTCTTAATGGTTAGGTCAAGTATTTAGGAAGCACGTGTATTGTGTATAAACCGAACTCGCAGATCACAATACTTACGACAGCATGAGCAAACTAAAAACCTTATTGAGGGTTAATGAGTGAACAATTAGTTTTAACCTGAAAAGCCTCATTACAACTAACTATGGATTTTGTATGCAACCAAGCTCATGAACTATACGTTGAACGAAGAGTTTCAATTGTCGATTGAGGTATGTATTCAACTAGGGAGTACGTCTCCAGACTGAAGTTTAACTTCATCAATCGATGTCTAAGTAGTTATAGGAACTAAATAAGCTTCAGTTTAACACCTTTTAAGATGCCGAAATAAGAAAGCTTAAAATTCCCCAATTCTATGATCACCAATAATACCTAATCTTCTGTGGTCGATTAACGGATTCCAACTAGTAGTAAAAACTATCTTATCAACTATAAATTTGTTACAAACCCTGCAAAAGGTGTTTTATTCAGAAATGTTCGCCGAAATTTTAAAAGATTCCCCTTGATTATAAATTATGTTGAAAAAACCTAGCACGAATTTATGAAAAATAATTTAAGACAAAGCGTGGGGAAGTCAACGGTATAATGTACATTACCTGAAAATTTTCTTAACTTCAAATGATTTTGAATTTTTCATAGTTTTTGTTTCAATAAACTCAAAAAGAAGCAGATTTTCAAGACCCAAACCAATAAGTAAACAAAAGCCCAAACTTGGTGTGTATAAAACGCGTTCAGCAACAACGAAGCCAACGGGAAAGAATAAGTTACTAGCTGGTATGAAAGGCATTATCATCAAACTCAGGGCCTATGAAAAGAATGGTATAGGAAAAAAACTTAGTCAGTTTCAGTTTATATTTCAATGAAAAAGTAATATTCTACAGTATCTGACAAATTGGTAAAATAAAACAGTGAAGACCTAATCTTAAGGTGTTTTGACTACAAGAAAGAATAGCTAAACGCACGCTGATAAACTAAGAATCCTCTTTCACATGCAAACCTTTTTTAAGAACAATACACTAAAAACATGACGTACCATACATACTGTTCGACTTTGATGTAAAGGTGTTTTCCAGTGAAGAGTAATGGAAAGTAGCAATAAAATGAAACCGAAGGCCATCAGTGTCAAAATATTACGTGAATCTGTCCAGCCATGGATAAGTTTTAGACTTCCCAAAGTCCAATCTGCGCACAGGTTAGAAGGGAATATTAATAAGCCTAGGTTAACGGGAACCAGGTAAAGATGAGTGAGGCGACGAGTTAGTGGAGGTGCATGAGCAGCTGGGTTATCAAACCTACGAACAAAGGATACAGTAGTTTAAGAATCATAAGCAAGGGTTTACTATAATAAGCAATTACTCTTCTATATACCAGCGTAAGAGCTCAGTGACGAGACTGCAATAGTCTAATGAGGTAAAACGAAAGGTAAGATATGCGTATTAAAATCAGACGATTTTGAACACATAAGCAGCTACTAAAATGATCAAAACTGAGAGGATACGAAAAAATGTTGCAGAATATAATCTCAAGTAAAAGATCTTGATGCAGATAAGATATCAATACTTCAACATTGTACATATGTCAGTGGATTTAATAGCATAATATACAGAAATCTAAAAGATCAAAACAAAGATAAACTAGGTGAGAAAACAAATGAAAAGGACATTTCTCGTTGAACTGTTCAAAATGTCGACGAATATTAAGTTCATCTACTTATATTACTTACAGTCTTCTACTGATTCCCAATATTCTAAGAACTAAAGCAAAACAGCGCATATTTATTGTTTATTTAGTCGGTTGATAAACTTTAACTATTTTTAAATTGCTAGTTCTTGATCACATTTTGAAAGATGTCATGAATCATACTCGCATATGCCATGAGGTAATTTAGAAAACATACTAGATAAATGAAGAAAACATCTTAAAGTAATGAGGAAACCCAGAGTTGAAAACTGCTTCACATTTAAATTTATTGAAATATAATGCGACTAAGTGATGAATCTACTGTATGAACATCGTGTGGTGACTCTGTTGCATATAAAGCATTCAATGAGTTCCTGAAGTTTAATGCACGTCTCACAGAAGCGAAAACGAGCTTAGGATTTACTGTAAATTGTATACAATGTCACAGATATCCTAAAGTATACTGGAAGTCTTTACGTCGGGACACAGTCTATCCCAGTGCAAAAACACTTGAAAGACATGCGTTTAATGAAATTGACACTTTAAAAATGAATATCCGCGACTTGGAAAAGAAATCTTTTCTGAGACAATATTCCGTTGATAGCCTGCCTTCGGAGTTTCAGTCAATGTTCATAGATTATGTTGAAGAAGTTTCCAAGAACAGATCTGAGAAGACAATGACAAAACTAGTGAAAACTCTGGAAAACCAAAAACCAGAAAAGGAATTTCCTCTTGATTCGATTCGGTACATACACAAGTTTTCCGATAATGAACTAGATGTAATACAGTTAGAAGCTTCGTCTCTCGGGCTTAAATTCTGTGATAACGGGCATAAAATCAACCAACTAGATACTGATGTACAGGTAGCGAATTTATTTTGACAACCAACTTACTTGATCCCTTCCTCAGTGGAGGATCAAGCCAGGTTTAAGACTACCTCAGCTGACGATTGCAAACGACACAAGAATAGTAAGTGTTCTACAAATCGCCTATTCACCAAGCTGCACCGAGATGATTCAAGAAAACTTGGAAAAGATGAAACCTTGATCTTAAGCGAACCAGACAAAGGAGGCATAGTTCCGATGAACAAAACTGACTGCATCAATAAAACGGAAGGAACGTTTTCGATTTCACTTTCATGAATGTTAGTATGAAAAATATCTCACGGGATGTGGTATATTTGTTTATCAACGTACCACTTATCGAGACTATTGAGTTCATATGCAAGCTAATATCGGAAAAAAAAATCAACATTAGCTTGCCTGAGGAGTGCCTGAAAGAACTGCTCTTAAAATGTGCGACGAAAGTCCATTTCGTCTTCAATAATACTCATTATAGACAAATCGACGGGATAGCCACGGGTTCACCTCTAGGCCCAATTCTAGCTGATCTCTTCCTAGCAAAGCTAGTAAATGGACGACTTAATGAGGCTAATAAGAAACCTAATATATATTGTCGGTACGTCGATGACACATTCATTGTTGTAGATCAAAACTCCTAGAACAATTTAACAGTGTCGTGAATTGGCAAAAGCCTATCTAGCCTTCTGTATCTGTGCTGAGATTTCATCACAAACCAGGCCATCAGCACTGAGACTCACCAGATAAGTGAAGCGGTCTACACGTTCGACTACTTCACTCACTATCACTAGTTCAGGTACCGATGCAACCCAATCTTGAAGCAACATTTTGCATTTCGAGGGTGAGAACCGCATCCCAAACATGCTTGCATTGTTGCTTAGGGTAGTCAGAAGACTGCATTTTATCAGCGTCCTCAACAAGTAGAACTATGTCATCGGCATAATCTAAGTCAACAAGCGATCCTCCTCGGAGAAGTTCCATCCCTGAAACATCTGACGAGGACAATGTTAACTATAAAAGCCTATCTACAACAAAGTTAAACAAGAATGGAGAGAGTGGACATGCCTGACGCACACCAATGACAGTTCGCCATAGGCTCTCACTCGACCAGAAGTTTTAGAGTAGACAGGCTAAGGTTAATGTACTTCTTTGGTACACCTTTCAATGACAGACACTGTCACAGAACCTCGCGATCCACTGAGTCGAATGCCGCATCAAGTTCCAGGAAGACAACTATTGTAGGACGCCTAAGTGTGTGTGTGTTCCAGAAGCTGTCGTAGTGCGAAGATGTGGTCTATACAACCACGTCCAGGTCTGAAACCAACCTGGTTTTCTCTAGTCTCCTCTTCACGACTTTTCTTTAGCGTCGGAGTATTATTAAGGCTGAAGGCCAGTTGAACTGATTTCTAAAGTGTTCTGCCCATCGGTACAGTCTCCTGGATTGAGAATGAATAATAAGACCATCATTTTCTGAGACCGTTTCGCTAACAGATGGATTTCTCACACAGGTTTCCTTTATAAGGCGAAACAACTGTCTACTGTTGCCTATCCCCGCAGCCTTTTCCATAGATTTTGCTTTCGCCACCCACCACTGTTCGCAGTCGATACGTTGGCTTTTCTTCAGAGTGCGCCTAAGCCGACTACGTTCTTCATCATGTTCAGAAGAAGGAGGGATAAGTTTTCGAGCATCCATCAGTTCGGTAGATGCAACTGAAATCCACGGCTTTTTTCTAGCCTTATGGCTTACCTTACTAGAAGGTATCACTGCTGTTTCCACAACCTTTCTGATATCATTCCAAGCTGCCACCGGATGGAGATCACTTACACGGTTGCCTAACTGTTTTTCTAATTGTTCCTGAAATATATCCATAGATATGCTATCATTAAGTAGAACTCTAACAGGTTTCCTAGCAGTGTCTTTCCTACCTCCAGCAAGTCGCAAACAAATACGCGCTCGCACTTGGGCATGATCTGAATCTAGACATGTGCCCCAGAACGGCGACAGTCCTCTATCGAACCTCTCCATCGGTGACTGATGGCAATGTGATCTAGTTGGGTCCAGCATCGTGACGACTTTGGGGGCCACCATGTCAAAAGCTGCTTTTCCTTGTGCCTAAAGTTAGTATTTCTTAGAAATAGGCGGTTATCTGATCATACTTGCAACAGACGGTCGCCATTGTCTGTTCTTTGAGCCGCGACAGCATAACATCCACCAAGGTGTCTCTCCTGCTCACTTAGTCTACCTACTTGAGCATTAAAGTCACCAGCCATTATTACTACATCCGACCGCCTAGCTTTTTGGAGGAGGTTCGAAAGCTTTTTGTAAAGCTCATCTTTCAGCTCGTCTGAACTGCAATCAGTGAGGGCATAGGCAGATACGACGAAGAGGCAACGACGAGTGTCACTATCTTTCCGAGTCTTTACTGTCTCGTTCAGTCGGACGGCGCACAAATGACTATCTACAGGGATCCAGTCTAGGAGCGCTAGTTCTGCCCTACGACTCAATGCTATACCTACACCAGCGAGACCCCTTGAAGCAGCATCAGGGCTGCCGGATACACGAAGAGTAAATCGGGATTCTTCTTCATTTTGATAAGGTGAAATCAGATTAATAATTTTACTAGGATCCTGTATGCGCGTTTCCGAGACGCAGCATACATCGATTGAGCGAGATTCTAAAGTCCTAGATAATGATGCCTGATGCCCTATTTGACACAATGTCCGTACATTAAAAGCTCCAACATGTAGTTTAGAACGGGGTTTCAAGAGACCGGGAATGATGTTTCTTGAACTCGCTTCGTTTGCATTAGCGGTGCAGTCAGGTAAGGGAATGTGAGTAGGGTTAGTTGTGGAGATAAGAGAGGTATGTGTGGGTGTAGGGAGGATTTGATTTTGACAGATTCGGCATCGCGTGCTGTTACGGGTATGAGGGCAGTTGTCACTTCCAGGCTACCCACATAATAGCAGGGTGTTTCTTGAGGAACCTGAAAAGGAAGTTAGATTAGAGTTGGTCTTAGAGACCTGGTTGCGTGACCACAGAGCCCAAGGGACAACTGCTTGAGGCCTGTCGCGCACGGCTTTTTTATGAAAGGATTTTTTAGTATTAGCTCCGCTCTTAAAAGCCCTTATTGGGCACCCTTACCCAAGGAGACGGAAATCTGTGATATAGGGTGAGGTGTGATATTTTCAGTGTCGACCTTTTCTAACCCTTCCTTCCTTGTGAGAAGGTAGCATCGCTGCAGATGCTGATTGTCCGAGGGAAACAACTTACTTCTTTCATACCCCTCTGCAGTCAGCAGTACGACTTCGCCTTCAGACCTTGAGTAGCTGCTTTTAGTCTCATCGTTCTCCAACCGACCTGCCTGGCATGATAGAACCTTCAGGAACATATGTTCCAGCCAGTATAGCTCGTTTGAGTCGTCACGATAGGCAAGCCCGACAACAGCGTCAGGGTAGCAGCTACGGTCGGGATTATGTGTAGTGACATATTCTATTTATTGTGATTGTTGACTCAAATTGACTTGACTGGTTTAACTTTTTAATATAAATATTCATGCATATTAAAGTGAAGCCTGATGACGATCTCATCGAAAACAATATTTTTCGCTGATATGTGTCGTTCTAAAAATTATTCACTGAAATAAAAAATTTATGTACACATGGACAGTGTGTGTCGAAAACTACTATCAACAATGTACTATTAAAAAATGTGATTTATTAAAGACGCAGTAGGCAAGAGCGATAATTATAAA